AGGTAAAAGAATTGTACTTGTAAATTTGATTTGTACTTGTAAATTTGATTCGTACTTGTAATGTGGCAAAGTTGTAACAAATTTATGTACGTTTATAGACTTACATGTACAAATTTAGACTCTTACACATACAATGTTTCTGACAGTTGTCTTACCCCATACATAAACCAATCAAATCTTACAAACAAAGTCTCAGCAGATACCTACTGACTATCTCTTCAACTTAAATGACTTTCCATTAAACAAATATGCTCTTAATGATGCCATCAGGGGTTAAGGCCAAAGGTTGCTGATGACGTCAGATGGTAGTTGGCCGCAGCGAGGCGTTTCCTCATCAGCACTTTGTTTACTCTGTCTTTCTGCAGCTGCACCTTCTGCTGAGCTCTGCTGAGCTGCTAACACCACCACCACACCAAGATCTTCTTCAAACCCTGAAGGTGAGCCTTGTAGATAAACCTTTATAACTTTTAGGTGCGTTAAAAGTCGAACAATGTTCTTTTCCGATTGTTTAAAAGGGTCCTTGAACGCAACTGGAAAGGCGCAGCTTGWTTTTCCACTAAACCTGACAGAGAAAAGTAACTTTTTGTTGTTGAGGAAGTTGTTTGTATGAAATGCAGTGTCGTGTTGACACGTGAGCAGTTTGTGAAGTTGTCGGTCAAATAAAGAAAGCCCTCCCGGGTTAAAGGTCGTGTTAAAGCAGAACCAAGTCCGTTCAGTTTCTCCTGGTTTTGCAGCTCGTGTCGGACTGACCCACGGAGCTGAGGATGACTCGTCGCGTGGCTGTGGTCGGAGCAGGCAGCTCAGGTCTGACCTGCATTAAGTGCTGCCTGGATGAGGGGCTGGAACCGGTCTGCTTTGAGAGCAGCGATGACATCGGGGGTCTCTGGAGGTTTAAGGTGAGTTTTTTTGTGTTTGCATGTTGTGGGTCTGACATGTCACCTTTTCCTGAGCCSCCTGCTGGTCCCTGCAGGAGAACCCAGAACCAGAACGGGCCAGCATCTACCACTCTCTCATCATCAACACCTCCAAGGAGATGATGAGCTTCAGTGACTACCCCATCCCTGCACACTTCCCAAACTTCATGCACAACTCCCTCATCATGGACTACTTCCGGATGTACGCGGACCACTTCCACCTGCACAAGCACGTTCGTCTCAATGTGAGGAAGCTGTCATTTCCTGTTCCCACATCAGATCAGTCACTGGACAAACGGTTCATTTTACTGAACTAAATCATTAGAATCAGTTAATTAAAATGAATCGTGAAAAAGATTCGTTCACTGAATCATTCAGTTCATTTTAATGCATGTACTGTATTAAAGGGATCCACGATTAGTTGTAACATTAAACTTTATTTGATAAACTTTGTTTTAACTCTAAAATAAAGACTAAAAATACTGTAGGATGTTTAGTTTTTATCATTTTTAAAAAAAAATTTT